TTTTTATCTTGTGTTGCTTTAGAAAATACATCAGATTTTCCTGAAGTTGATATAGAAGACCCCCAAAAGATAGAAAATAGTCATTTCTCTTTCAGCTAGTCTTCTTTATTTCTTCAGAATTCTCTACCTAAAACTTTTGAGTGATGTCTGTACTTCTCACAAAGCTATATTTTCCATCATGTCAGGGAATATTTAGTTCACATTGCCACAATAATGTTCTCGGTTTCCTTAGGTAATCTCTGGGTTTTTTCTTTCAAATGGGTCCAACTTTAGAACCATGTAGTCCTCAGTAATCAGTCCCACTGTGGTGTATTCTTTTTTTTTTTTTTTTTTTTTTTTTTAAACCATCTTAAATCTTTAGAAATGAAAGTAAAGCTTATCTCATATGAGATAGATTAGCCTGTTAAGTTTATTTTTCCCTTTTTCTTGCTATTAAACTTTTAAATAAATTCAATTTTTGCATATTTTAGAAGTATAATCTCAACTTTCTTTAAGTGGATTTTCATTGTTTATTTTCTCAATTCATTTGTATCTGCCAATTTCTGTGTATTTGAGTACTTTGATTAAGTTGTGAAGGATGACAAAGCTTAGCATGTGTGTATGAGGGAAGAAGAGAGGAAGAGTGATAATTTTTACATGTAAAAGTTAATTCTTGGTAAATATAACAGTGTATTGTCTATTGAAGATAGCTGTGTGTTGACTGTCACCTTTTTTTCCTCCAAATAGTTATCAATAAGGATGGCTAATTTGAAATGTCAGATTGAGAATCAATATTTATTCCAAAAGTTTGCTGTTTGGACTGCTCTTTCACCTCTAGGATAATTCAAATGTTTATGCATCCAAAAAAAAATCTGGTTTCAAATACAGTTATTATGCTATACACAATAACATTTTTTTTTTAAGATTTCAATTTTTCATTTTCCACTAGGCTCTCTTCTTTCTTTACTTCTTAAGGTTTTAGGTGGTGTTCTGATTATGCATTGTGAGTTTATCATTTAAACTTTTTCCTTTTTTAAATGTTTGTGTAGAAAATTTATGATGCACCTTGGTGTATTTTTGAAAAGGAATAGGGCAAATAGGACTTTGTGGTTAACATTTCCTGATCTGTTTGGATTAGATGACATTGTTGGGAGATATGACGATCTGTCCAAGTCTGTTAATGAACGAAATGAAAAACTCCAGATAACCCTGACCCGTTCGCTGAGTGTTCAGGATGGCTTGGATGAAATGCTGGACTGGATGGGAAGTGTGGAAAGTTCTCTCAAAGAACAAGGCCAAGTGCCCTTAAACTCTGCTGCTCTTCAGGATATCATCAGTAAAAACCTTGTAAGTGACTTTGTAAAAAGAGAAAAAAAATCCCACTTACAGTTAAAAAAAAAAACAGTTTTATAAGCTCAAACAATAAATAGATTTAAGATAAATTTAAGGATGCAAAAAAAAGATGTTTCCTGAAAGTAACAGTATGGGTAGTAGTGCTTGCATGGAATAGTGTGTAAAACTGTTTTTCTGAAAAGAAGTATAGAAAGGGCTTTGTGTACTTTTTCTTGAATATTATTCATTATGGAAGGCTTATACATACATTGAGTCTTATCTTGTTTATCATTGCTTCAGCCAGCTGCACATGAGGCTAATCAGATCAATCGCGTTGTTGTCTGGCCTTTTAAAAATTAGGACCATGGCTAATCCCCAGGCTCCATTAGATCTTAGGGGTTGCTGAGTAGCAGCAGCCGCCTGCTTCGTTCAGGCAACTAGCCAGCTGTTATCCACACTCCCTTGAAGAGATTTGGGATGGGATTCCTCAAGGGACAGATCAGACTTGTCATTCAGTTTCAACTGTTAACCCTCTTAGTCACAGGTGGTTCAAACTTATGTTGTTATGAATAGTCATTTTTTAAAAAATTCTGTCGCATTATTTGTAAACATCATTGTAAAACATATGCAAAATTTGGTTCATTTCAGATGTTGGAACAGGATATTGCAGGTCGTCAGAGCAGTATTAATGCCATGAATGAAAAAGTAAAGAAATTTATGGAAACAACAGACCCATCCACTGCATCCTCACTGCAAGCCAAAATGAAGGACTTGTCTGTTCGGTTTGCGGAAGCAGGTCGTAAGCACAAAGAAAAACTTGCCAAAATGGAGGAGCTAAAAACCAAAGTAGAACTGTTTGAGAACCTCTCAGAAAAGCTCCAGACATTTTTGGAAACAAAAACTCAGGCTCTTACTGAAGTAGATGTGCCAGGAAAAGATGTTACTGAATTGTCTCAGCATATGCAGGTATGTCTCCCTAAATCCTCGTGAGGCTGATCAAGTAGATTAATAGTTAAGACAAACTCATATGCTTATTGGCAGAATTATAATTAATTAGTAATTGTCATTTTAATTGCTTACGGATTATTAAAGATCTATGTTTTCCCCTTTTAAAAATCTCAAAACCCTATCTTCTCCTTTAAAGCTTTGCTCATTGATTAGAAATAAATACTATTTATCACACATATCATAGATGATATAAGTATCATCTTATGTGCCAAAACCCACGAAGAGACAAAATATAGAATGCATTTTTAAATTAAATAAAGTTTACTGTATTCTCTTTCAAATAGCCTGTCTGCATTTTGTTATATTTAGAGTGCTGATCGTAGGCAGACTTATTCTTCTGTGAAATTCTGAACAGAGCTATTCTGATCCCATACATACATCTGGATGCAATGTCAGTTGACGATCTAGCAATATCTGTATTGACTAAGTATCTAAATGCTTTGTAGGAATCAACTTCTGAATTCTTAGAACACAAGAAAGACCTTGAAGTTTTGCATAGTCTCCTGAAAGAGATATCCAGCCATGGCTTACCAGGTGATAAAGCTCTGGTTTTTGAAAAAACAAATAATTTGTCAAAGAAATTCAAAGAAATGGAGGATACCATCAAAGAAAAGTAAGCACCACTTTAAAAACTATGCTTTATTCTACATGATACTAATTAGAATGAATTACTTTTTTTTTTTTTTTACTTATATAGATAACTGAAACAATTTTGAAAACTTGAGAATAAGCCTAGGGCTACTTTATAAGTATTTTTTGATAAATTTTTTGCTATTAAAATTATTAAAGTATTTAAGAGGAAATTCAATACTTCTTACATAAAAGCGGAAAGCATTATATAAAAAAAATGGTGGTGGTAGTGTATTTCTGAAAATGATCTAAACTGGCTATATCTGAAGCTGTTGGCAAATATCACATTTTTATTTGCAAAGGCAGAAATAGCCTTGAAAGACAGCTCGTGGTTCTTTGCTTTCTGAGCTGAATTCATAAACTAAGTGTAATTTCAGTATGGCCTTTTTTATATAATAAGTTTACTTTTTAAAGAGTAGCAGATGAGACATGAGTCCATGAAGAAACAAGAAATAAGAGAATGAACCTAAGTTGAGCTAAAAAGCTATACAGGGCCTTGTGACTTAACTTTTGTATTTTTTATCTTGTGTTGCTTTAGAAAATACATCAGATTTTCCTGAAGTTGATATAGAAGACCCCCAAAAGATAGAAAATAGTCATTTCTCTTTCAGCTAGTCTTCTTTATTTCTTCAGAATTCTCTACCTAAAACTTTTGAGTGATGTCTGTACTTCTCACAAAGCTATATTTTCCATCATGTCAGGGAATATTTAGTTCACATTGCCACAATAATGTTCTCGGTTTCCTTAGGTAATCTCTGGGTTTTTTCTTTCAAATGGGTCCAACTTTAGAACCATGTAGTCCTCAGTAATCAGTCCCACTGTGGTGTATTCTTTTTTTTTTTTTTTTTTTTTTTTTTAAACCATCTTAAATCTTTAGAAATGAAAGTAAAGCTTATCTCATATGAGATAGATTAGCCTGTTAAGTTTATTTTTCCCTTTTTCTTGCTATTAAACTTTTAAATAAATTCAATTTTTGCATATTTTAGAAGTATAATCTCAACTTTCTTTAAGTGGATTTTCATTGTTTATTTTCTCAATTCATTTGTATCTGCCAATTTCTGTGTATTTGAGTACTTTGATTAAGTTGTGAAGGATGACAAAGCTTAGCATGTGTGTATGAGGGAAGAAGAGAGGAAGAGTGATAATTTTTACATGTAAAAGTTAATTCTTGGTAAATATAACAGTGTATTGTCTATTGAAGATAGCTGTGTGTTGACTGTCACCTTTTTTTCCTCCAAATAGTTATCAATAAGGATGGCTAATTTGAAATGTCAGATTGAGAATCAATATTTATTCCAAAAGTTTGCTGTTTGGACTGCTCTTTCACCTCTAGGATAATTCAAATGTTTATGCATCCAAAAAAAAATCTGGTTTCAAATACAGTTATTATGCTATACACAATAACATTTTTTTTTTAAGATTTCAATTTTTCATTTTCCACTAGGCTCTCTTCTTTCTTTACTTCTTAAGGTTTTAGGTGGTGTTCTGATTATGCATTGTGAGTTTATCATTTAAACTTTTTCCTTTTTTAAATGTTTGTGTAGAAAATTTATGATGCACCTTGGTG